GGGAAAATGTATGATGATCACAAGTAAACAGAACAGCATGAAGATACAAAAGCTTGATGCTAACATCTGTTGCAGAGGATGGGAAGTTGAGAAATTTTACGACAAGCATGACAAAATTCTCCAAAGTAGGTCAACATCTTCCAACATCAGTTTTGTGGTTGTCATTCAGTCGTATCCGACTCATCATGACCCCATCGACCAACTGCCCATGGGGTTTTCTTGGCAAACATACTGAAGTGATTTACCATTTCCTTCTCCAGTGGATTAAGACAGAGGTTAACTGACTTGCCCAGAGTCACACAGCTAGTAAGTGTCTGAGACCAGAGTTAAACTCAGGTCTTCCTGACTCCAGGCCCAGTGCTCTAACCACTGAATCATCTAGCTGCCCCTCCAACATCAGTTATTTTTGTTCAAATGGGGAAGGAGGGTACAAGAGAGGACAAATAGAGGAACAAAAGCACATAGGAAAATATAATTCATCAAGAAACAAAAGAGACCAAAAGGTTATACCATATGCATCATGCATGCTTTCTTCAGAAGAAAGTTGGAAGTATTTAGATGTTGCAAGTATGGAACAACCTCAAAAAAATTTTTAATTGACTATATCTTAACAGACAGGAAACAACTGGTTACCCACCTAGTAGTCCTTTCAGAATTCACTATCTATTTATAGTCACATCATCTGACTAGTTAGAGTAAAGGTCAAAATCAATACTAAATGAGAAGGAAGGATAAAAGGAAAAATACACTGTAGGTGATGATGGCAGCTTCAATCCAACATCTTTAAACAGGGTTCCCAAAATTAGGGAAACAAAGAAGAAAATGGTGACCATCACTGTGATTTACCATTGCTTAGAAGTTTAAATAAGGAAAAGCAACTGCCATGATAAAGGTGGACAGAGGAGCCCAGTTGACACTTCAAATAACAAACATTCAACTTCCTTGCCAGGAGGAGAGATGTGACAGCCAAGAGCAACAGTAGTTTAGCTATAAGCTTATTTGCTTAAAAAAAATTGTAGAGGTAAATGACAAAAGATTACAAGGAGTATTGTTTCACAAAGAGTAAAAAGAAAAAAGCATTTGAGGTGAGGAAAGGCTCTCACAAAAAGCCTGGTATAAGGCCTGGCTAAAGACAGACAAATCTGAGAGTACTGGGGACCATACTGGACCTAATCACCCTGCTGATAGATGATGTGAAGATGTAGAAATAGTACTTTAGACAATCTAGACACAAAAAGTAACCGATCAAATATGTATAGAAGAATCCATTTGGGAAGAACAAAAACTTTAAAGAGATGCAGGGACCAACTTAGAAGATTTCTTGAAAAAGGGAAGATTCCAACAAATGGAAACAATTAAAGACAGTACTTTTACCCATAAAGGCAATTGAAAAAATTAGTAATTACCACCCTATGTGTCTATATTCTCATCTCTAGAAATCTTTCTAAGAATGATCAGTGTAGGGGCAGCTAGGTGGCTCAGTGGATAGAGCACCGGCCCTGGAGTCAGGAGAAACTGAGTTCAAATCTGGCCTCAGACACGTAATACTCACTAGCTGTATGACTCTAAGCAAGTCACTTAATTCCAACTGCCTTACCCAAAAAAAATAATAATAATTATCTGTGTGCACAGGTTAAGTGTATCCTTGATGGGAATAGAGAGGCATGTCATTTTCTACAGCAAATTGTATCTTCACAGGCATACACCAGACTGTAGAATACATGTGTGTATGTACATTATGCATCCATGTATACATATATGTCTGTGTATAGATATTGATATATGATAAATAAAACAGGAGGAAAAAAGTTAAAATTAAACCACCCTCCCTGCTCTGCAGAATTGGAAGCCTATATTATCAGATTCAGTCAATGTATTGGTTGGTTTTATTGAACTGATATTTTTTGTCTTTCTTTTTAATTCTTTGTTATACAGGACGTACCAAAGGGTAGGGGGAAAGGATATATTTGCAGATTAAGGTAATATAAAAACAAAAGATGTCTTTAAAAACAGTAAGCTTAAAGCAAGGAGAAATCTTAGAAATCATCTATTTCAACTCCCTCATTTTACATATGAGGAAACTGAGGTCCAAAGAGGTTAAGGAATTTACCTACATTTACAGAGATAGTGAATAAATAACAGCCAAGAGTTGATCCCAGGCCTTTGGAGCATAAACCCAACATCACAATCCTAATCACAGCATGCTGCCTTTATATAAGAATATAAAATCTCAGGGAGTCTACTATTATCTGTTGATTTCAAAAAAAAAAGAAAGAAAGAAAAAGAAAAACATTTGTTTGGGTAGAACAAAATGGAGCCATAAGAGCTCTCCTCAGACAACACACCTCCTATGCACGTATATTAAAAGCTTACAAGATACTGTGACAGATACAACTGTAGAGAGAACTTTCTCCTACTGAGTTAACATTTCCAGAGTTTTGGCATTATGTCAAGTATGAAACAGAAAAACTCCCATAAGATTTTTAACAGTGCCATACCT